TGGTCTTCAAAATAATATTGCTTTAAATAACTTAAGCATAACAATTGTGGAACTTCCATTTGACACTTGGCACTAGTTCTTGACAATGGTGTTGTTGATTGCATTTCAGAATTTAACATTGTATACTTTAGATACATTTGATGCAAACGCTTTTTTGGTCCCAAAGCTATATTCATGTGAATTGTCTATAAAAAAGACAACGGATAACTTTTATTTAGAAGTGTAAGGGTGTGAATCAAATAAAGTGGAAGGTATTTTTTGTTCTTTTTGACTCCAGTATACAAATCAGAGACGTTTAATTGGATTGTTGGAGAAATAAATTATACATGTTAATTTACCTGTGGGAGGAGAACCATGTTACAGTAGGTAGGGTGAAGTTAATAGGAGTTCGGAGAAGGCATTAGTGGTCATTTTTTTGCCTAAAATGTAGGACGATTTCCATGAAGATGAACTCTAGGAAATCTTCAGAAAAGGAAAAACCTGGCCCTAGTTATTGTACTGGAATTGTCTTTATCCTTAGCTATAGAACAGAGCAAGAGCAGACATTGGTCACTAACTATAATAAACCGCTATGATTTGAGCTATTTTTACTTGTTAGACATGGTGTCAATGTGAAGGGCTTACAATACATAATTTCATTTAATTCTTATAACAACGTTTAAATTGCATGTGACTATTCAAATTTTAAAGATGATCTAAGAGATGGTGTGATATCTGTCTTGTCCACTGCCATCCAGCTAGTATATGATAAATATATTCAAATGCATATCTTTTAGATTCCAGAACCATTCTTTTATTCACTGTAGATCTTTCTGCAGTAAATTTTTCTCTGATCAGGCATAGTTCTGGCTAGGAAAATCACAACTATGTACAGGTGAATCCTCCTCTGTTTTCCTAAGGAAAAAACCTTCATGATTATCTTCAAGATTAATTTTGTGCAATGCCATAGGAATTAAGATGCTTATGTTGTTAAGTGACTTTTTCCTCTTAGGAGGTCATGATCATCGTTATCATTTGTGTTAATCAATCACACATAAAATAGGCATTTACATTGTGCAACTGGTAAATAATTAAGAGTTGTCTTAAAAGGAGTATCAATCAATTGTTCGGAAGTGATATGAATAAGAAGAATCATTTAGTGTATCAGAAAAATCAGAAGACTGCTTTGCATTGTTCTTGCAGAACACCAAAGACAAATGACACATATAAAAATGACCTCGTCCTTTTAACACTGTGAGTTTGGATAATGTTTTGGACAAATATAAGTGGTGATATGATTATTTCTAGGATCCAGAACATCAACAAGGATTCAATAAGTGTTCCCAAAATTACACACTTCAATACAACTTTAATGGTATATATATTCTCCATGGAAATCTTTGAATGTATTTAGGTCTTTCAAGATTCAGTCTTATTCGGTCTTATTGTTGTCTGAGAGATTTGTGCCAACTGAACAAATACCCTGTGATCAAATAACTGTATATACTTGAATAAGCCATGATAGGGCAGAGTGAACATCACTGAGTATATCCTATAATTTTGTTACTACAACGTTGAATAGTACTTCTAATCTATTGATTTTGAATAACCTCCTGAGTTTCCAAGAATGACTTCAAGATTTATTTCTCTATGTTTTCAATAAGTAATAGTACTAGACATATCTTGAAATATTAATGGATGATGAGGACTAGTAGAACATTAAACCATGCACTCTAACATGACTAGCAGGGCATTCAGTTGGAACTTAAGGCTAACCAGATTGGTTTAGTAAGGGTCAGGCACAAAGTTCCTCAGTCTTTTCAATGATTTTACAAAATCAATTTATCAATGATATGGATGTGGCTTTTTTTCTTTTCTAAATCCTCACCCGAGGATGCCATTGCTTTTTTAGATAGAGTGGAAGGGAGGGAGAAGGAGAGAGAGATGTTGTTTGGTTGCATCCCTCACACGCCCTGATCTCAGGCCAGGAACAGACCTGCAACCCTTCCCCTTGACCAGGAATTGAGCCAGAGACCCTTTGGTGAGTGGGCTGACTGAGCTCTAACCACTGAGCGAAACTGGCCAGGGCTGATGTGGCTTTCTTGGCATTAGCTGGCTGCCAGATCTCAGGCCCACCCCAAAAGGTGTGTTCCAAACTAGCATGATCTCTTCTAAAGGGGCTGGTTGAGATGGTGATAGCGAAAATAACACAGCCAAAATGCAGAAGATGAATCATTGGTTCATACAACATATAAAACTCTTCTATTACTTGGTATTTGTCCAGTGTCACTTCATATGCTCTCAAAACACCACATTACTGGAAAGTAATTCTTAAGTAACCAACACCTGGTTAATTAGACATGTAATATCATCATTGCCCGTGGGTAAACTTTCTCATGTCTATCTATCTACCTTTGAAGACTCCAAATTGCATATCATATCTCAGTCCCAGTTTCCATAGTGAAGTGGTTGAAGATCTGCTGCTTCTTTTCTCCAGAACAAATCTGACAAGCTTCAAATATCATGTTAAATCTACTGTTATCTAGTGTAATGTTATCTTTGGATTAGGGGCCCATATGACTGATTGTTTTACAGATGTATAACATAATTCAATGTCATAAAAGGTGAGGAGCCCTGGCCAGTGTGGCTAAGTGGTTAGAGATCAGTAGGCTTATTCACTGAAGGCTCTTGGGTTTGATTCTGGGTCAAGGGCAGGTACTTGGGTTGCAGGTTCCATCCCCTTGTGGGAGGCAACCAATCAATGTGTCTCACACCAATGTTTCTCTCTCTTCCATCTCCCTC